AACAATACTACAGAGATTCAAAAAGCGATGAGAAGCAAAATATGAGGGGTGCACAATGGAAAACTTCATATTTGAAGAATATTGAACCGATAAACATTAAAATATGGAAGGATTCAAGAATGAGAAAAATGAATGTTGATTGAGTCTAAATTATTATTAGGATTAGCACAGAAAATTTAAGTGCTGATGCGATTATGATGACAAAGCTGGGGCCTGTGCCATGTACCATGACAGTGATCACCCTCCATGGGAAAAGCAAACAGCACTCAAATCCTCAAGTAGTCTTACAGATCTTACAGGAAGAGAAAAGAAAAGGACTCAACCAGACTGAACAGACAAATGGCTGTGATAGAATTAGCTACTCTCATGATTTCTATACCCAAACAATGGAAACCATTCTTTATTAGCCAAAGCCAGAAAATATCAGTTTTATCCTAAGTGAAGTAAAATGGCTAACTCAACCAGACACATTCATAAGCACAAAAGGTTCTCTTGCATCTCAAACATGGATATGTTTACTTCTTCAACCAAAAAAATAGGGTGAAATATCAGGCATTAAATAAGAATATGATATACCAGCATATTTTGGTGCTTTTGTAAACCAATGTTTATGCAATTTTGTATAAAGCCATATGCAGCAAATAAGAATGATATACAAGCATATTTTGGTGCTTTACACAAGTGTATAAATCCATATGTGGTGCAATTTTGTTAACCAATGTTTACAGGAATGATTTATGATAAACAGGTAAAGTATGACAAGCTGTTGCTTAATCTCTTTATGTGGTTCATAACCAAAAACATCTGCAAACATTGTATACTTTGAACAAACCTTGTTCTTACACATCAATAATGCAAATAAAACTCCTGAATCAGCAACATCTTGCAATATAGCACTGGCAGCTTGTCTTGTTGAATAAGACAGAGGAAGGCAAGTATATGCATTAAGAAATGTAGCAGGATTCCTGAAATATGTAAAACAGAAGTCAACGGCATCCCTCATCATATTCTAGATTATTAACATCTTATTTTAGATACTACGACAATCTCAAAGAACATTCTTATTTACCTTATCATAAAATGACTATGCAACTCTCTCTCTCTCTCTCTCTCACACACACACACACACACGGATGATGTTACCCTTGGCACTGTTAAGGAAGAATAAGGTAAACTCAAGGATAGGTTGGCCATTTGTTATACTAATAAATGCACAGCAAGACATGCTACTAAATGTCTGGTCCACCCTTGATAGATACATTCAAAATTAAACGACCAAGGGCATCTAGCTGTTTTTCATTGTTGAAGCAATTTACAAGTTGCTCCACTAGGAGCATTATAATACATATATATAGCAAAAGTTCATCCTTTTGCATGTGTCTAGGGGCAGAGTTGGCACAAGAAACCACAACTACAGCACACTGATACAGCTAGTGAAGAAATCCATAATGTACCAACATGAATGATTCATGAATGCATACAATTTCCTTAAGTCTTATAATCATAGTTATCATGTTTTGAGCTTTAGCTACCGTGTACTAATGTTAATGCCTATGTGAAAGTTTATTGGTCTGTCACATTTTTGTCATCAACTACAAGAGAATCAGCACAGAAGGATCTGTTTGTTGAAAAAAAAGAAATTTGATGCTTTGAGCAGAAGAGCAACTATAACTAATGTACCAAATAACCAAAGCTTTTGGCTTCGGATTAGAAAATACAAACCAGCTGAATGCATGAATCAGAGAAGAGAAGACCGCATCAGTTCCTCTCAACAATGGGGTCATGTCGTATTTTGGATTCTTCTCGAAACATCTATTTACCGATTTTGTCAAGATAAGCAGCATCTGGATCAACATAATAACAAAGAAGGCTTTGAAATTAAACATAAAAAAGTGTATCCATTTACAGAACCATAAGGACAAACTTGATTAAATAATAAGGAAAATCACTAAAGGCAAAAAGAAAAAATAAGGGTGGTCAAACAGTGCATGGTGTTATAAAGTTAAGCATGAAGTACCTGACCATAAATAAGCTCCAACTGTCTTTTCAAAGCTTCATATGGCTCTTCTGTACAGCTTATGCACACTAAATATATTGGAACTTTTACAAGAAAAACCACCTGAGCAAACAAAAATGCAAAATAACTTACACAAGGGTGAAAATAGATATGAAATATAGATTATTGAACACCTTTCACATTAACTCCACAATCTAAAATAAAATATGGTGTGCGTGTAAACTATAAGCCCATCATATGATGGAAACAACTAAAGAACTTCATTCTATCTCATAAATTGCAGCAAACCAATTTGTATAGCAACATATACTTATTGTAGAGCAACAACATATAAAGTCACTGATACATCATAATTATCAATTGCAAATTTCTTATTGAACGAAACATTAAAGAAGTTACACCATATACGATAAAAGAACTATTCATTTTTAAATTAGAACAAACAAAGCAAACAAGTAAACACAATCTTCTTACAAAGTTTGCAATGAAATGATAAGACTGAGCTTCACCACTGATGGAATCATAAGAAAAGGGAAGGAAAACAGAAGAATTTTCAAGGCTGTAAGACAAATATGTTTTATCAAAGGAGCACTTAAGATGAAAGAAAATGGATGAACAATTTCAGGATTCATAAAAGTGATGAATTGACAATGATGCCAATCTGCCGAGCCCAACAACTGGTAGTATCCCAGCACATGACTGCAAATCCTCAATTACCAACAAATTGAAAAGTCTAACATACCAGGTTCTTGCAACAAGCCAACAACTAGGGAAGAGTAATGGGGGAAAGATTAAATAATTCGTATATAAAAAGAAAAATAAAAATTTGACAGTTTCACCAAACAAATCTGAAAAGTTATAAGAATCAAGATATTTACTGGTATTGCATCTTGATCAGGCTGCTTTTGTTCTATTTTTTTTCATTTTGCACAGATTTTATACTAATCAGGATCTTCAAAGAATGTAGGGTTGGATTTTTCTTTTATGGGATCTAATCTTATCTGTAAATATGACGAAGATCACCGTTCCTCAAATTCCAGCAATCAACTTTTTCAGAACTTTAGTGAGCACGTTCATGTTGGAAAAATAAAGTGTTTCCATATAAAATGTCAAATGGTGTGCCATCTTCCTATTTACAACAAGGACAACTTATGTGCCCTTACAAATATAAGATCTAAGGGTGCAGTAACTGAACACAAAATAAAGGCCACAACTGACCTGATGTTTCCCAGCTCTTATAAACTTCAGACGGTCTCCACTAGCAAAATATATGAAGAATGTCTAAAATCAGTTCACTGGAACCAAATTTTCAAGAAATTGGCTGAATGATAAAACTGATCAGCAAAATATCATACCTGTTTTCTACAAAAGAAATAATAGCCTGCAAAGTTGCTGAAAATCCTGCTAATTTATGCTCATCCCCATACCTGAAATTGCAGTAAGATGACATGTGAATCGGTTCCAATTTTATTTAATCATGATGTGAATGCTGGTGTGGTGATAAACACTGTGCCAAGTATATAAAAGTCAAGCACATAAATCTAGGCATACCTAGAATATATTGGCTTCCCAGAGTTACTCAGAATAAAGAAGTGCTTCTTTCGCTTTCTCCATGAAACTGAACCATCATCCTACATTTCAGATAAAAGGGAAAAAAATAACCAGCCTGGCCAAATCTTAAAGCTTAGAAGAAGGATAACAATCAACATGCTGGAAAATATTTCTTAGTCTGCGCACTCAAACTTCCAAGGTTATCAGATAGCACAATGAACTAGCACAAGGAGATAATCAATCACATATGAACTTGACATGGCAACTTCAGATTTTAGTGAATGTAATACATGCTAACATGCCAAATGGGTATAAAAGATCCTAGCACTGCATTCACCAACTTGAAAACTTGCAGAACTTCAGAGACCACCAGAGATTCACAAGACCAAAAACTAGTCACCTCGTCAGGATGCCGCTTCCCGCGGCTCCAATCATCCAGCATCGTCTCTCGGTCATCGGCCTCCTCGATCTCGCTCGACCCTCCACTGCTCCCCCTCTCTCCAGCGTAACCGCTGCTGCTGGGGCTAGGCAGCGCGTCCCCGCGGCCCGAGCGCTCCCGACAGGCACCAGAGCCACCAAGAGACGAAGGCCCGGCCAGATCCCCAGAGACCGGCGACCCCTCCTCCACGACCTCGATCTCACCCGCGGCCGCGTAGAAATCCGCGGGCAGAAAACCGTTGCCGACCGGCCGCTCTGCGCCCGCGGCGTCGCCGGCTTCTCCCAAAGTGAGAGAACCCATCTGTTCCACCGTGGCGGGCTCAGCGTCGAGGGAAGGGTCGGGGTGGTGGGGATTCGGATCGGTGACGGAATCGTCGGAATCCATGGGCCGGGGAGAAAGGGGGCCAATCGGAGGAGGAGGGATTTGTCGAGGTTTCTCGTTCGGAATTAGGGTTTCGATGGGATCGAGTGGGCGAGACCGGGGAAAGTATGACGTCGTCGTCCTCTACCCGCCGCTCTCTCTCGCTCGCTCTACTATTAAAGGGGGAGGAGATCCGCAATTGGTTGTTGGGTAAACAAGATCGTTTGCTTGACCGGTAGTTCGGAGGAACTCGATTCTTCTCCCGTTAAGGTTCTCCGGTTTCCGGTGTGTTTTCGTTATATGCGATGCTGGAAAGGGCAAGTTCAATTAATAAGGCGAAGTACACAGCATTCTAACTAACTACTTGCTGTAATGCACCTCCAATCACATGATGTATTTGGATAACATGATTCAGCCTGATACGATAGATTGATTCCAAAACCTTAGTGTTAAAGCTTCACAGACAGTACACCTGTTTGTGCACAGTGAAGAAAACAAGAAACATTCAGTCAGGTTGAAGGTGAACGAGAACAAATGGCACGGTAAACACAGGCTGTGGCTGCATCAGAGTGCATCTCAAAACATTTAGATTACCTCGTTTGAACTCTCGACTTCAGTGATGAATGCAGGGAGTGATCGACACTGAATACTTGATTGAATTCATAGCAGCTCAATACATCGATAGAAGGTTCCGATGATCATCAATTCACTCGCAGGAACCGCGACTGAGATGTCAATAAAACAAAAAATTTAAGAACGACTCTCTATCCATGGAGCTCATAGTTTGCACAACTCGAGAAACAACACATTAGCATAAGGAGATGGCAAAAGAGATGAGTTGACCCATAAAGATGTAGAATTTGGTTCATAAATTGTGCAAGGAAGCATAAAAGACTAAGAAATGGGTGGGTCCTAAAAAATCAAAGCTTTCATTCTTTGTTCCCAATGTTTGAGCTTACAGGGGAGCAGGCAATATACATCCAAGTGTGCCAGAACCTGCACTCCAAACAGATGAAGTTTGGGCAGTCTCCTGTTATTAAGAATAGATCAAATTAATTGGAGGGGAACAAAGACTAATTTCTATCAAAAACATGTATAAGAATAATTTGCACTCCAGTAGACAAGTGTCTGTCATTACCTCGCTGATAGCTACCAGGCATTGCTATTGCCGTTCATGCAAAATGAACTCCATTGGGCGTAGTTTGCAAGGAAAATGCACCAGAGCAAGGTCGCGTTGTTAGGCACTAAAACATTTTATTGCCGAGACAAGCTTAAGAAGAATTCAGCAGTTCCAGGAGCTTCGCTGTTTCATCTTCCTCGACAACCTATCATCATTCAGATTGTAAATGACTATTCCATGCCAACTAGAAATAAAGAAACAAGAAAATAGTCCAAAAAATTGTCAAGTTCCATGATTTGCATTATCAGTCAATCCCAATCCAAATTGTCAAGTTCCCACATTAAAACGCCCCAAATTTTGAGAGATCACCTAACATCTACGAAAATCAATAATTATTTTATCTCTCAGATACAATTCAGCCGACACAATTCTAGTCAACCCTTCTTGCATTTCTTCAAACCCATCTTGTATTTTTCTGGTCATTTTTGTCTGTATAGCTTTCAACATATCTCAACTCTCAAGTATAGCCAAAGTCATTATATCATGCCCACTCCCAGGATATGAATTCAACATCAAAACATTTTCCTCGATCCAACAGGGGAAAAAAAGGATCATATGCCTACTGCAACATGAATTATATGAACATCAGGTTAATAACTTGTCACATAGAAAAATTAATATTTTGCTAAGGACAAAGTGACAATACCTTCCTTAATTAAAAGGAAACTTTTTTAACAATTAAACAATCAGTTGTGGCTTTAAAACTCAATCTGATGATCTTCGCAATGGACACATTAAATGCCATGAAATCGATGCCTTCTCCTCACAGAAACCCTTAGACCATGTTTACTTACTATAATTTTAAATTACTCAACATTCAATGAAAGACCAAGCCGGACAAAAGATGCATAACATTACACTATACTCCAACACAACTTTTTTTCTCTCTAAAAAGTTACACTATTTTTAGGTCATTATGCATCATTAATTCATTATTCACATGAATGCTTAACATTTACCAATACTTTGTGAACATCAGAACCTGACCCTAATCACTGAAGATTACAAGCTGAAGGACCATGCTGGAGTGAAGGAAATCGCAATGTGCGGCTCCATAATGAAGGCAATGATGGTAAAACATTGCATATGGAGCTGACCAGTAACCTCAATAAAGATACATAAAAAATTGCAGGAAAATTCATTTAGTGAAGGTTAGTTACAGTATATTCTAGAAAAGGCAAAGTATGCAAAACCAGCAATAACATGACAGATGAGGAAAAGATAAAAGATGCACACACCTCCTTAAGTAAAATGTTATAGAAGTGCATTCTGGTGTCTATACAGTTGTCTTCTCTAATACTCATACATATTTATGGTCAGTTCATTCCTCTGGTTATCTTGCCTAATTTCAGCAATTCCAGGGCTACGATATTATCCATCTATGTGAAATTGATACTACTACTTCCAAAGAAAGATGAACTCTATTTTTACATGCACTTTTCGATGAGAAAATGTCTCTGCAACTGCTTTTAGAGTTAAGGTACACTAGACCTTGAAGCAGGTAACCCAAGCTGGTGGATAGTATCTTGGCAGAATTGACATGTAGATACTTCTTGTCTACAGCACATGTATCTGTAGTTAATTCTAAAAAGATGCCATTGTTTACATCAATAAATATTTATGCATGGATCAGATGAAATGTTTACAAAGATACTCAGAATCATCAGAAGTAGAAGTCTATTCTTCGGTTTTCCTAGTCCATCGATGATCAGATTTCTAACTTTCATACAAAAATCTAGCATTTCTGCTGCCACTCAAAAAAGATAAAAGCAATATTCATATTTTGACAGTGCAAGTTTAAGAACTGCCGACAAATGATATAAAACGATCTACCAGAGCTGCCAAATATTTGCAGGCAAGAAATTTGTTTTCTGCAAAGAGAATAATACAAAATGTATTGATATCATTCCAAAAGTACCTTAACTGGGAGATCCTTTGGAAGACCAACTGAATCAAGGAAATCACATCCAATTTTGTGCCAATTGATTGAAACAATTTGTTTGTCTCTGCTGCCCTTTGGTTGAGTTTTTCCATCAGCCTGTTCAAATTCACTCCCTATCCACAAATATAGTACATAACCACCTGCCTCTCCACTTCTATTAGCACTATCAATTAAGAAAAGAAACACATCTCTGGAATCAAGATCCTCTTTGGAAATTGTTGCTAGCTTTTCCATACTTGGCCAGCGGTATACAAGGGGTAGTTCAGGATTTGGCTTCTCCAATCTACCATCAACAAGACCACTTGAACCATGGAATAATTGGTCATCCTTCCATAGAAAAATTCTCTTTACATTTTCATAGTTCTCAGAACTACTAATAGCATTTTCAGCTAAGCACTTAACACCTGATTCTAAACCCACACTATTTGCACAGCCTAAAACATTATGATTTTGATTTTCATCAATATTAAGTTTATCTAGGACTTCATGTGTAATTTGGCAAGCAGAAGATGCATTTAGTGCCTTCTGACACATTAGTGAAGCATCTTTGGAAAGTGTTGGCAGTTTGAAAGATGAAAAACCTCCCCTTCTTTCAGCAATAGATTTTGCTAGCCCCTTGGATGGAGAACGAATTGTTCTAACAGATGATTTCAATGAGTCAACTGTGTCAGAAATCTTTTGAGAAGGTCCAGTTGATTGTGGCAAAGAGTTGCGCATGTTATGTGATGCAGGTGGTAACATGAGAGGAGAGAAGCATGTTGAAAGAGAGACTGAAGGTGACTCCAAACTAGAATTTGAACAAATGCTTAAATCAGGAGAAGAAAGACTACTGGGAGAAGGATATGACAGGGAATTTGATGTCTCTGCATTCAATACCTGCATCCTACCAGAGAAAGTATCGATATCTCTCACCAATGCTGTATCTGAAAAAAATCTACCAGTGGTTACTGATACAAACCTTTGCCTCAACACACTCCAACTACTTTCTCTTGCTGGAAGGTGTGTTTCACATTCGTGTCCTGAAGAAGCAAATGGTGGCACAATACCTCCACTAAGAGCTTTGTAGAAGAGCTCAAAATCCACATCATAGGCTTCCACTCTCCTTTTACCTACAACAAACCTAGCTGCTTCAACTTGTTCCTTCTCAATCTTTGTGCCATCATACAAAGACAGTGCATTCAGGAAGTTTTCCCAAAAATCTAAGGGCTCTTTCCCTTCTTCAATCATCACGATTGGCCCCTGCACTTGCTCATACCTTACCACCTGAAAGGCAGCAGCTTTTGCATCCTTCTCCATAACAGACTCACAATTATTACCAATCCACACATAAATTGATGAGAGAACATGAATTATAAATGCACCCCTTGAATCCAGTGCAGATGGTGAAGGATCATTTAACATCTTGGGGACAAGGTGCAAAGGATCATAAGGTGAGTGAGGTGCCATTCGGTACATCCCATGCAATGACCTGGGGCTTGGCGGGATCGCATGCACCCTCTTCTGGCACTGTAACAGTTGACAGGCAAAACCCATGTTGGGATTAGCTATTCCTCTTGCTGCCTTTACAAACTGGAAGGCATCATCAAAGCTCTGCCCTTCCCTCCACATCAGGTAAGCTATGACCAGAGAGGTCGACCTTGACACACCCTGGCAGCAGTGGACAAACACTCTCCCTTCCTGCTGCCGAACATCCTCAAAGTAATCAAACACATCATACAATATACTCGTGATGTCCTCTGTCGGGCTATCCTGCAACCAAAGGGTCTTGTAAACAAGATCTGACTTGAAGTACTCCGGGCAAACGAAGCCAACACAATTCAGGACATGGGTAATCCCATGCTGGCGGAGGATTTCTCGGTTCCTAGCAACATAATCTCCTCCAAGATAGATGTGATTTGCGACCTTGGAACACTCCTTGTCAAAGAACGCAATTTGATCTCTCTTACCTTGGGATCTCAGTGAAGAAAGATCTAACCTTAGGCCGTCACCCAGCTTGCAAACGTCAGCCTTTGCACCTGGGGTGGAGGCCTGTGGCCACTCCCCAATATCATCGGACCCCGCCTTCGGCCACTCATCCAAGCTTCGGCGGGCGATGGCGAGCGGTTGGAGAGGTGGAAGACAAGACCGTGCCTTCTGGCTCTGAGACCTAGGGGTAAGAAGAGGCCCAGGTCGGTGCTGTAGCTGGCCATTGCTCGTGTTCTTCTCTTCAGAAGCACAGTCTCTGGAGTGGTCCAGAACAGACGTCCGGGAAGCAGACCAAGAAGCCGACCTCCAAAAGGTCCTCCGGCCGCTGGGAAGCGGAACGCCGGCGGAATCCTGCTCGCCTCCCTTCATCGCAATTCGCCCAATCGACACCTGAAAAGAAACCCTAAATCACCGCCGACAACGGCCCTCGCCTCCGACTGCAGCAGATCGACATCCTCTCAAACCTAGACAACAGCAAGATGCAGTTTTTATTCAATCCAAAGCCAAAAACCCACCACAGCACATAAACATAAAACAAAACAAGGGCATAAAAAACATGGGAAGAATCAAGTTTTAGTTTAACGCCCACCAGAATGGACTTGGATTCTTTCCTTTCTTCATTTATAGCCACAAAAGATAGAGTTTGAGAAGGAGGCAAATTAAAGTGTGAGACAATCAAAGTTCGACTTACACGTACCAAAAAGGATAGGTGACGCGTAACAACGACTCGAGAGAGAAAAAAAGAAAGAGAGAGACGGGACTCAACCCTAGAACAGAGAACAAGGATAGGCGACGCTTAACAACGAATCGAGAGAGAGAGAAAAAGTAAAAGCGCGACGAGACTCAACCCTAGAACAGAGAGAGAGAGAGGAGTTCAAAAGGGGGATAGAGGGAAGATCAGATTAACCGCGGTTAGGAGGAGGGGTTGGGATGGGTTAATTCGGGTTCACGGCGCCTCCAGTGTGCCACACATCAGAGCCGTCGGACTCGACAATTCAAAATGCGATTCGTGATGTACCGAGAGATCAGGGCCCGTTCATCGTCGCAAGTGGGACGCGCGGTACAAGTGGGGACTTGTAGCGGTCAACTTTAGGGGGCTGGTCGACATGGGGGCCACCTGTCAGTCAAAATGACTTCAGCCCTCAAACCGCATTGTTTGAACAATTAATAATGATTCTTCTTTTGCTAATAAAAAATAAGAACAACGCTGAAGCTATTTTTCCCTGTTAACATATATAAATGATTGTTCAATGAATAGTTTTGTCTTCAAAACCTATCGCACATATTAAAGAATAATAATAATTAACTTGCCATTGAGGACACTATAAATCAAGCAATCAAATATTGCCAAAAAATTTAGAAATTACAGCAACGAAGAGATAAATAAACATAACTGCTAGAAAGCCATATGATAGATTCAACTTGATGTTTTGACTCTCAGTTGTCGGCGCTTAGGAGACGCTTCTGGAAGTCTGTCACCATTAGGGGTAACCCTTGCCGCAATGTAACCTTCGGCTCCCAATTCAGCAGTTCCTTTGCCTTTGATATATCAGGTTTTCGCATATGAGGATCATCTGCAGTATTGGGTCTGAATTCAATGGTTGCAGAAGAATCAATGACTTCTTTCACAACCTGAACAGGTGTTGGAAATTTGTTACTTAAAAGAGTGGAAAGAATGGATGATATCTTATGTCCTTGAATTTTCTGGTGGTACCTCAGCTAGCTCCAGCATGGTGAACTCCCCTGGATTACCCAAGTTGAAAGGTCCAATGTGCTCACCTTCCATTAGTACTACTAATCCATCAACCTAGCAAGTTTGGATTTTAGGACATTGTTAATGATTCATGTATGTTACTCTGCCGGCATGAGAATGCTGCATGAAAATAAGTGACCTGAGAAAGCAAAATTATGGGTAACAAAATTTCAATCAGGTTCTGACTTAGGTAAATGCAATCAACAAGTGCATGATTTGATCGAAAAGACTGTGTGATGCTAAATTCCTGCATATATAGGGAACCTCGGTTCCCTCTCCCTCACCCTTTGAATTCTTTATGCCTAGAAATAGATTGTGTTTTACAGGAAAGACTAAAATCACAACAACATTGAGATTTCTTTCTTCCCCGTATTCTTATATAAAAAGTAATAGCAGCAACAACAGCAACAACAACATTCCTCCATAAACAATAACAACAACAACAACAAAAAACAACATGATTATTTCTTAAACAAAGACTTCCATGAAAAATTGAACATGCAAGTTATGGGACCTCAATAATAAATGCCTATCAATTATAAATGCCTACATACTGATAGGCATGCTTCAACATACTATGAGATAAATTTATTAAATACATGGCCAAAATGTATCATTTACCCCTGTTCTTGATTGTCCAATACAAACAGTCATAAAAAGTAAGTGTTGTCCATGCATGTGCTATGAAAGATCCTATACGCAATCATCAGTCAAGTACTTTTTCCATAACTACATAATCTTACGGAAATACTTGCATCCATGCTAGTGCCAACATTTCAAAAATCCTGAGCTACATCTTAGGATACATAAATATATATATGCATATGAATAATGAAACTGAAATGGCACAAGGTAATGTGATATATAGGACTAATATTGTGATACCCTCATTTAGTTCCACATCGAAAGTTGGGAAATGATTAAGATTAACTTATAAAGGTCTGATGAGTATACTACGACAACTCCAGCTTAAGTATTTTGGTCAATGGTTGGGACCAAACGGAGTTATAGGCCAGTTAGCCCATCAGACTTGGGTATCAGAGCTGACCCTAGTATTTGGGCCTGATTGTGACACCCTCATTTAGTCTCACATCGAAAGTGGGGCAATGACTAAGATTGACTTATAAGGGTCTAATGAGTATACTACGCCAACTTCAGCTTAAGTATTTTGGTCAGTGGTTGGGACCAAACGGAGTTATAGGCCAGTTAGCCCATCAAACCCGAGTAGTGACAAATATAATCATGCTCAGGCAGCAACTGACCCAAAGTGAAGTTGATAATAAATCAATCATGTTCGGGCATATCTGTTCAGACAAATCCTTTATTTTTATATAATATTAGTGTTCCAGTACTATGCAATGACCAACTGATTTATGTACTTACTCTAGGAAACAAGGCTACACAACTACCTTAAATGGAACGTGAACCAACTGGTACAACATCACAACTACAGCAAGAAGCCTAGGCAATTTAGAAACTCATTCTTGCTGATGCTTCCAAATAGCAAAAAGTCCAACCAGTTCAACTCAGTGAGGTAGAATATGGGTGAATTATTTTACTGAACAAGCCCAATGTATTACCATGAAAACCATAAAATAAATGTTACATGTTTTGGGCAGTTCCTAAATTGGATGTCTCAGGCAGCAACAACTATATATCAACATCGTTGGGTCTCTAAGATGGAAAAATACTTAAGCACACCATCAAAAGTGCAGGAAGAAAAGGTTAGAATCATAAACCAATAATTCAGGCAACACTGCAATGGTTCATATTATGACAAGAGGAAAGAGATTAGGTCTGTTATGAAATAAAAGGTAGAACATGATTAAGTACCAAATCTGAAACATATTGGAAACTTCGGGTTTGCTTTCCATCACCATAAACTGTCATGGGTTCTTTACGAAGTGCCTGCAAAGTATGGATTCTAGTATCATCAAATCTCAATATTTTTACATCTTCAATCTTCATGATAACTATGTTTCATTACACATTAAACATCAAAAGAGAACATATTACATTTGAAAGAAAAGCTACCTGTGCAACAAAGTTGCTGACAACACGGCCATCATCTAGGCACATGCGAGGTCCATATGTATTGAATATCCGTGCAATACGGACCTGAAAAGGCATTGTCACAAATCAATTTTATTGAGGAGATTTCGTCTCCGGTGAAATGAGGCAACAATTTTGTTGCCCTAAGTGCAAAAAAGGATGCAACTGAAGAAGTTCTATACATGAAGGCAAAAACTAACATTTTAATTCACAAACTGAGACACATTATTCCTAAATTCATATGAATAACTTGGAAAACATATTCAGAAAGCACCCATATAAGAAAGAGGGCATAACATAGTGGATAACATGGAATGACCAACAGGTCTCAAGTCAGCATAGTACAAGCATGGGGGCAGAATTAACATCCTTCCTTGACAGGGTTACCGTGTCGGCATTGCTCAACAAGATGAGATATGATGACCATTTTGCTGAAGCCTAATGAAGACAAATCTTGTTTCCCACTAAGCTAATTAAACGTGATATGAAAATTTTCTTTATTGCCAAGAATAGTGTGGAAGCCTGCTTGTTGGTAGAATATCCAAACACATTATAAATATTTGCAACAATAACAAGATTCTACAATTACATATGGATGTAATTATATCACACACAATTCCCTAATTATGACATATGTCCCGCTATATAACTGAACAAAGAAGTGTTTTCTCATGAGAATGTACCTATATCATCAAAAAATTTGATTCAGGTTTAAGGGTAAAAAGTATCTTAAATTTGATGCTGTTATGATGATTAAAAATAAAAGATGATGTCAGTTACTTGTTGATCTTTTCTAACTTGAAAACATTTTACAAAACATATGCAAGTTAGTAAGAAAATGGAAACCTTATGGTCAGAACTGTATCACCACGTGCACATATTGCCATGCTCCTTGGTTAGTACATATCACAACACGATCAAAAAAAGAAAGCAAAGGTTAAATTTTGAATACAATTGTTCAAAATCACCTCAACTTCAGCACCACGGTGGTAATCCATGGTCAAAGTTTCTGCTGTTCTCTTTCCTTCATCATAACAGCTCCTAACACCTAAGGACCAGTGAATGTTACTGATAAAACATTGATCCAGTGAATAATAACGGATAACAAATAAGCACGATGAACATAATAAATAAAAAAGGGAATAGAAGATGCTCTACGCCCCACATTGAAGGGTGCATTAATAGGGTTCATATTCTGGTTAAAATAAGCATTAGCAAAAGTGAACATAAATTGGCCAACCTATAGGATTGACATGGCCCCAGTATGTCTCCTTCTGTGGATGCTCAAGTGGATCACCATATACCTCACTAGTACTCGTCAACAGGAATCTAGCTCCAATTCTCTTTGCCAATCCTAACATGTTCAACGTTCCCATCACATTTGTCTTGTAGTAAATTGTTAAGAATATAGAACAATTCCATTACACAAAAGAAATCACCTTTGCTACAACATCAAAAAACATACCACTAATTCATAAGAAGAAGAACAAAAGACAAACTACAAACCACCATCTCCAAATTCATGTGAACTCTAACCAAGTGTAATTAGAAAAACAAGCTATTTAATTCACCAGATATAATCAAAAAAATTCAAAACAATCCTAGTTCCACCAACCCACCCCTTCAGTCATGCAAATACTAAAATAAATGGGTTCAGAGAACCTCAGATCCATTGGAGATCGACGGCATGTGTCATGATAGAAGTACGGATATTGAATAAATCTTGCAAAAAGAAAACTCGCAATGAAATCAGAAGGATATGATAGTCTTGATAGGGTTGTATTTGTAGTGTACAGGTGAGGCCGGGCAGGCGAGATGGTAGATCTCGTCGACCTCCAGCAAGATCGGCTCGACAACGTCGTGGCGGATCAGCTCAAACCTCGGGTTTCCGAAGTGATGCACTACATTATCCTTCCTCCCCGTGAAGAAATTATCGATCACGATCACGCTATCCCCCCTGCCCAAAAGCTTGTCCACCAGGTGACTTCCAACGAAGCCGGCGCCCCCCGTCACCACGATCCGCTTCGACGGCTTCTTGAGCCCCACTGGTATCCTCCTCCCACCGCCACCTACACCGACGCTTCCGCCGCCATCGGACGCAGAAAAAGAAGGGGAGGAGGGGTGGCGGAAAGTGGGGAGAAGGCGATGGGAGAGGTGGTCGTAGGGGTGGGGACGGGAGAGGGAGTGGTAGTAGGGGTGGAGAAGGAAGAAGGTGGAGGCGATTACGGCGCCTGCGAGGACGAAGAGGAGGCGCTGCTCGCGGAGTAGGTACCCGGCGGCGGCGCGCAGAGGGGAGGAAGCAGCAGAGGATGGGCGGGCCTGCGGCTTGGCGGGCTTGGCCGCGTACGTGGGGATCAGTTGGGTCTGATTGAGGCTGGATTGTTTGTGGAGCTGCTTCATCACGGGATCGGATTGCCGGAGTGGCTCCGCCGAGAACTATACCCGCAGGCCACTGGGGAGAGATGGCGAACGAGGAGGTCCAACGGAAGTGCCGAGGCGAAGAGACCGAGAGAGAAGGGCAAGCGCGTCAAAATAGGCGATCTGAGTGGCACGTGCATTGCAGGTGTTATTTCGTGGATCAATGTCTCGTGTACATGGGAATGCCAGAAATGAAACTATTTAGCAATTTTCTAAAAAAAATAAAATAAAATAAAATGGCATCACTTACAAAAAGAAAAGCAAATTTTGATTAGGATAAAACAATAATCAATATTTTTTTAACTAAAACCTTGACAACCCATTCGATAAAGAATAAAATTAACATTTCCGAAGTTGACACATGAACACCACCTCAAATAGGAAGTAACATCATCAAAACAAGTAGTTATACCACATCAGCAAACGGTTACAACATGCAATTCTACCACCTCAGCCATCACTTGGATAGGTAATAATTATACTAACGAGACGACATTTATGCCATCTCAATCACCACCTCAGCAAAGTAGTTGTACAGTTCGATAACAACTCTAACCATCCTAACCATTGATAGTTACAAACAACCTTACGTATAACAAATCTTTCATATTCTCTCCCTTCCTTTTCACATCCATTACTTTTTAATATTTCAAAAAGCTTTTGGTGGTATCCTTTTTTTCGACCCTAAGCTTCTTATAGTATATATACGCTTTTAGTATATATACTATAAAAATAATCTTTTTGTATATATATATATATATATATATATATATATATATATATATATATATATATATATATATATATATATATATATATATATATATATAATGTGACGTTTCGTTGCACCGTCGTGAGTTCAGGACAAAATCACATGATATTATCTTAAAATGGATAATTCTCACTAGGTGGTAATGAGTTCACATTGATAAAAACCTATAATATGACATCTGGGATTTAAATGTTTTGAATTTTTAATTAGCCAGCTAATTATATATTACTCTTTATATTTGGACCTTATTACTATCATACTTTTTGTATTTAAGAAATTTATATTAAGATTTTTATAGTTTTAAAAGTGAAATAAATAACATGTTGGATCGATGTAAAAGTAATAGATAAAAAAATAATTTCAATATCTTTCATTTTAGTACAAAATTATTTTTTTATCGATAAAATTATTAAAAATAAAAAATATTAAAATTATCTTTTTATCCATTGCTTTCATACTAATCCAACATATAGTATTATATATTACGTTTATTGTCAATATAGTTGATGACGTTAAGATAAATAAAATTATTTATTTATTTTTAAAACTATAAGAATCTCATTATAAATTTTTTAAGTACAGAAATCATAAAACTAATAGAGTTGATGTACAGGAGGTATTATATAATCAGTTCTATTTAGTCTCATATCTAATTAAGATTGAAATAGCAAGATATAATAAGGAGTTAAAAGAATTTTTTAAAAATATATATTCCATTTAAAAAAATAAAATTATGTGAGATCCATCGAGAGCGAATAATTATTTATGCTTTAATGAGCTATCGAAGGTCTTTATTCATAAGAAAAAAATATTTAAAAATTTGGATAATGTTTGGGTAAATTTGATTTAGGTTTCAGGTGTAAAATCTGTTGATATTTATCAAAATTTATATTTCATATACACTCTACTAATACTCTTTTTTTTTTTTGGCAGCAAAAAAACATATATATATATATATTTATTTATATTAACAATGATATCATGATTCTGGTAATCGGTGCGCTTTTTATGCTTAAATGCGATTCCGACCATGGAACTGTTAGAATCATGGGAGTGGGCAGTTTCGCAGCATGAATTGTAAGAATCGGGGGAAGCAATCCCGTCTCATCCCCGTATGTCCGTAAATCCCCTCCGCCATTTCTCTTCCGCAAAGCTTCGTACTCTTCTCCCGGTCCACCCCCGTAGAAAGATCATGTCCGTCTCTACGGGATCAGGCGCCGCAGGAGCCACTGATCCGACGGATCCTGGCACGACCTTCAAGCTGCTCCTCTCCTGCCCCTCCGGCCTCCCCGCTTCTCGGGTAGCGTCTCTTATGTTTCTAGGGCTAGAAAACAAACTCGCGTACACAGGCTTGTATTATTTCAAATGGATCTGTATGATTCTAATATTAATTAACGTGTTAAATGAAGGTTTTTGTCAAATTCGATCCGTCCTACGATCGGATCCCTTACCCGGATGCTAATTTAGAAGAATCCATAAATGAGGTAGTAATCCTTTTTGTTACGATTTTGTTTCATATGCTGAGTTTTTATTATATTGTTGAATGAAGTTTTATACGGGAAGATGTCTAAGGCAAACTTTTTGTTTTCTTGTCTTTAAAGTGTAAGGGTTGGATCAGCAACACTGATAACATTTCTTTAAGAGTTGATTGCTTTGCAAAAAAGTGTTTCTGCACCTATAGCCCAGAGAATTTGCCGCCTTGAATTATTCCAATCAAGTATAACATATAAAAAAAATTATACAACATCGTATATGTTTATTTATACTTGTTGTTGTCTACATGTTATGCTTATGTGTGCATCTGATCGTGTGAGCATACATGTGACATGTGACTGTTCAAGGTCTTAGCCCTCTATAGTTATTTGTTTTCCTAGTAAATCTAGTTTCAGCAACATCTTTTGGTTGCCATTCATAGTTTAAGGTTCACTGACTACAACAATGCATTGTTTGGTTAGTTGGATTTGGCAGGAAAAGAAAATTTTGTTGAAGCTTGATTCATGTCGCCTAATGAGATTCTTGTTTCATGTGTGTAGATATGGAGCCAACGAATTCGGCAGAATCCATCACTATATAATGGCATAAAGTTCAGAGTATGTTACCTTTGGCTTAACTTGCATGATATCTTTTTTCATTTCCTTCCAACAACTTCTTACTAGTATCTGTTCAAGTTGGCAATGGAAAATTGAGTCATAAAATTATCAGGAGCCACACTTTAGGTGAAGCCTAACACTATTCCATAATTGAATTCCTAGGATTTAATTTATTTGAGAAATGAACTCTCTGTCGAAATGCAAATAAACTTCTGCATTGTAACTATGATTACTAAAAATATCAGCATTAAACAAAGTAAACATTTTAAAAATGATATTCTCCATCAATATATAGGTTGCAGTTACTGCAATATTATGTGCATGGACTAACTCAGAAAACTGTAATTTTGGGCACAGTTGGTTGTGTGGAATGCGTAGATACAAATTTTAGTGTGGATGACATAATTTTAGAGGCTAGTCATAGTTTAAGTGTGTCAATCTTTGATTTTCAAGTAGTAGCACGAGTATCTGTTGGTTGAAACATCACTTACTGATGTTAGTTTCCAATAGATGAGTTTGCAATACTGCATATGATTAGCCATGAAATGAAAGGCAAGGACGTAGGACATAGGACACACATGCTTTACATTTGTGAGTGATGCATATGCTAACTGTAAAGTTTATCATCATGATATATACTTTGACCAAATATGACTAGTTATAGAGCACAATTAGAAAATTATATAGGCTTTCATCGAAGTTACTTGTGAATGATTATTTATCTGACATCAATCCTCTGGAGTTGGTGCCTCTTTCTTGTCCAAGGTAAAGTTGGCAAAATGTATACTGCAGCAAAAATCTAAAAGGCTGACAGCAGGTAGGTATAAAAATTACTTATCTAGATGAAGTTGAGGCTCAGAAGTGTAGGATGAGTCATCCTAATATCCACTTACAAGATTTTTATTATTGCTATCTATTTAAGTGAATTTTATGAAATGTAAAATATATGTCATGGCCTCCTTTGGAAGACTTTGCTTTTCAATTGATTTTTTTTCACATTTTCAGTTTTAGTTATACTTCTAAATTGATTGCTACTATGATTGATATAATGTATTTCAGTATGGAGGTCATGCCATAGAATATGTGGATGGCTCAGGTCAAATTTCATCCGTCTGCCTTCACATGGGTCTCACGGATTACAGGTTATATCATTTTTTCATCAAAGTCTTAATTGCATGATATTCTATTTGATCTTATAACTAAATTATTATTCTTTTTTTCCTAGCATTTTGCTGAGTTAATTTTTACTTGATCTTACTAATTTGTAGTTGTGCATGTTGTCCAATTTACTTTTACTGTTAAAATGTGAAGGTCTATTTTCGTAAAGTAGATTATGGTAAACACATCAGTGTTAGAAGATAATTGTTAAATCTATGGGGATGTTGAGGTGAAATACTTGTGGTTGTCCATACTTGGGAGGCTTTCGTAATCATCTTATTTCTGTCAGTTAGCTTTCTGGATACTGAATATGAAATTGATTTACAATGTTATTTAATTCGACCTTGTTGATATGTATAATTGTGATTGTAGCACATTTTCCTATATTTATAATGGTATCAGGTTTTGATGGTTTGTTTCTTGATTTCAGTATATCAACTAGTTGGTTGTTGTTTTGTAAGAAAAACTCATTTCTCGGTTCACAACCACATAAGCAATATCGTTTTGAAGGTCTTTTAGGCAGACAACATATTTTTAATGGAGATCGTGGCAAACCATTGCATTTAATATGGAGAAATGTGGTATATGATATGTTTCTGCAAGTTGGTAGTCTTGTTGAAGTACTGCATAATTTTTGGTTAGTTTGGTAATATGCTTTCTCACTGATTCCAGTTTGATCAATGTATAGTTTTACTAAAAATGATTGTCATCTCATTTACCACCAAAATCTCTTTCTAATAAGTTTTCAATATTTGTACATCTTATACAATGAATGTTTATATTTTCTCATTAGGTTGTTTGTGTGCTGGTTCTACTATTATGATTGTTTATGAGCATCGAGTCATATTATCTAAGAAGCTGTTCAGAGTAGTTGGTTTTGGATTTTTGTGCTTGAATGAAAAATGTTTCTCTAAATTTGTATTACATTCAGGACATTTGTGGGCACAAACCTGAGTCCTCTATGGGAGAGGTTTCTTGTTCCTTCAACAGGTAAACGTGTCCAGAACAAGAGTTGTACATTATATTTCTGTATACTGGTCTTGCCAAACCTTTTTTTATCCATTTTTTCTAGTCGACTCGTTACGGTGTCAACATACATCAAGTCCATTGGGTAATGGAGCTATAGTGGAAACATCTGATGGCAAGATTCTTGTGTTACAAAGAAGCTATAATGTGGGTGAATTTCCAGGATATTTTGTTTTCCCTGGAGGCCATTCAGAGGTAACTTTATATTGTATAAGCTTACAAAAGTAAGGCTAGGAAAATATTTTGGTGATTATGCAACTAAAGGAATAATGAATCAGCTCCATGTCAATGCATCTGTTTATCATCTCATGGTATTATAGGAAAATGAAACATTAAAAAAATCAGTGAACATATTTGGTGAAATGGATTACCAAGTAATAATGTTTGATTTATGATGGAAGTGTGAAGCTTTAGTTTATTTAAATCATATGACAATTGTGCAAAATTTTTAAGATCTATGTCATATTTTCTTTTCAGCCCGAAGAAATTGGAATTTCAGCCCATCTGACTGACAAAGGCCAGACAGAATCTGAACTTCTAAATCATAAAGTTTCCATGGAAATGTTTGATGGTATCATTCGTGAGGTGGTTGAAGAAATTGGTCTTCCTGCAAATTCGCTAGTAAGTGATCACCAGGTTTTACTAGAGCATGTGATGCTCTGCCCTTGTTGTTTGATCTAGCAGTTTCATTTCCTTGCATTATTAGGCTATGGATGATAGTATATATAAACTATATATATAGAGCATGCACTTACATATCTATGATGCTCTAGATGATAATGTATCCTCAAAAGAATGCTGCACACAGAAATAAATTTTCAGTAAAACCTGAGATCCAAAGCAACAAGGACTATGTAGTATCTGAAAGAACTTTATCAATGATTTCTTCTTATGTAACTTAGTTTTAGCTTTTAATTTGACTTTTCATGGATTCAGCATCTCAATTCTGGATAGTTCAATGCAGGGTACTAGTATTTACAGAAAAAAAAGAAAAAAAAAAACTTGATCTCAATATTGATTGCCATAAAATTTTGCATGTGGATCATCATACCATTAGTAGATATATACCTAAAAATATAATATCTAGTCTATATCTTATCATTCTCAGAATCCGGTGCAATGTAAATTACTCATGACAAACAAGAAAGTACCTCACAGTGTCCTTTTGGAATTAACTTTCAGCTGAACTAGGATTTTTCTCATCATTTTCTGCTTCTGGTTACTGATCTAGTAAGTTTATTTTGGTGTCCCTTGAAAGTTTGTTCTAATTTGGATGCTCCTTCAAGTTGAAAATTTTCATTTGTATAGGTCTTGGTAGTTACAGTGTCTCTGGGTTAACTTGTTGGACATATCTGAACAGGTCTCAAATTCGAGGCACAACTCTGATTGGCTTTAGCCATTTTATATTTGGGACGATGGTCCTAGTTGCTAACATAATGCATTTAATTCATTAATTTTCTTTTACATCATAGACGAGAAAAAATATTTAAAGAACATTGCAGTAAAATGACTTTTGGCATAGGGTTCCTATTGACCTCGAATTGTTTTTGGCATCTTAAGGTCTACCC